TGCTCCGGGTGTGTGTTCACGATGTGTGTGTGCACTTAGGATGGGATAAATGCAGAGCACTAATTACCAGTATGGGTTACCATAGTTGGCACATGTCACAATCACTTTCATTTAAAATGAAGTTAGTTAAGTTTTAGATTATAAAACAATAGATTATATAAGTTTATTTAATTTGATTTATTCATCAGTTATTTGTAATCAACATGGCAGTGTTCCATTAAAAAATGGTTGTTGTATTTGGTTGAATGTGGATGATGTTAAGAATCCCAGCAGGCACAAAACCAGTATAACGTCAGACAGACGTTTATATTGGTCGAGAATGAAAATTGGGTTGACGCCAATTTGACGTCGACTTAATTTTGGATTTTGGTTACACAACCTGAAAACAACAAATAACAACATCAGTTGACATCGGTATTGGACATCAAATTAACATTGACATTAGACGTTGAACTGACATTGAATTTTGGTCACCCGACGTCACAACCGAAATGTAATCAAATATCAACGTCTTATGACGTTGTTGTGTCTGCTGGGATGTTTGGTCTCTAACACACACGTGATGTGTTGCAGAGACGCTGCAGCAGTGCTGTGATTTGTCCCAGCTCTGGTTCCGTGAGTTCTTTTTGGAGCTCACAATGGGTCGCCGCATCCAGTTCCCAATTGAGATGTCCATGCCCTGGATCCTCACCGACCACATCCTGGAGACTAAAGAGGCCTCTATGATGGAGTGAGAACCAAAAATACAATTAACACATTGAATTGCCATAGTATGTGTGCAAAAAAGAACGCTTTTATGAAATATGCTTCTAAGTATGTCTGATCTCTTCAGGTATGTGTTGTATTCATTGGATCTGTACAACGACAGCGCACACTACGCTCTCACGAAGTTTAAAAAGCAGTTCCTTTATGATGAGATTGAAGCTGAGGTAAAAACCCTCTTGACCTTCTACATTCATGCAAAATAAAATCCTTTGAGGCAGTTATTGCATTGCTAATTTAATTTATTTTGCTCAAGTTTAAGTGTTCTTTTAAGTGATAGTGCATCTGGATTTTTCTTCTCTTTCCCCCAGGTGAACCTCTGCTTTGACCAGTTTGTCTACAAACTTGCTGATCAAATTTTTGCCTACTACAAGATTCTTGCCGGAAGGTGTGTTAACTCTGTAGTCTTATTCGGACAGGATCTGTTTTCAGAACAAATATGTAACACTTTTTCAGTAGTACTGCAAGTTACTTTGGTGACTTAAAAATGTGCTTTATTTTCAGTCTCCTTCTGGATAAGAGACTAAGAGCTGAATGTAAGAATCAGGGTGCCAATATCCCATGGCCTTCCTCCAATCGTTACGAAACACTTCTCAAACAGAGACATGTCCAGGTAAGGACAGCTGCTCTTCTGTTTACATTTTCATTACTGTTTATTAATGGTGTTTTTTAAGTCCACTCATCCTGTTTTTTCCTTTTCTCTTGCAGCTCCTTGGACGATCGATTGACTTGAACCGTCTGATCACCCAGCGAGTGTCCTCAGCGCTGTACAAATCCCTAGAGCTCGCCATCAACCGCTTTGAAAGCGAGGACCTCACTTCCATCATGGTGCCTTATCCTTTAAAATCTCAGTTTTTTTATGGAAATTTGCAGCTTTCATTTTCTCATACGGAGACCCTGAATTTTCTCAGCTTGATTTAGCTGTGTAAATTTGCTGGATATTTGGCGGTTCAGGACTTTTAATAAAAAAAGAGGCCATCTCTCACAGCAAAACTGAAATTCAATGCAGCAGAAATAATTTAGCCTAGTGAATAATTTTATTCATGTTTGTTTCCTGTGTGTTTGTGTGTGCACGTTAATATATATACTTTTGAATAGACGTCTGACTGTGACGCATGCATTCCAAAAAGCCATGAAATTGTTCCAAAGCTCATTATCGGTATTCATACAAATTGTTGTTGGAGGTCTGTGTGTGCATCTGAATAGAAATGCATTGTTAAATGTCATTAATGTGTCAGAAAGTGAGAAGGGTATTTTTTGTTCCAATTGCTCTTCTTCTCTCTGTCATTGATCAGGAGTTGGAGGGATTGTTGGACATTAACCGGATGACCCATAAGCTCCTCAGTAAGTTTTTGACATTGGACAGTATCGACGCCATGTTCCGTGAGGCAAACCACAATGTATCTGCGCCCTATGGCAGAATCACTCTCCATGTCTTCTGGGAACTCAACTATGACTTCTTGCCCAACTACTGTTACAATGGCTCCACGAACAGGTGGGTAGGGAGTGCCCAAGGTTTATTTAAAAGTTACTTATTTATTTTAAACATAAATAATAATAATGGATATTTTTAAAGCCCAGTTTGGACAGGAA